AGAAAAAAATTTGAGGAACCAAAGAAATTTTTGGAGATATTTTGGTGACACATCCTTGAAATCTGAGGAGTTTTCCTCAAATAATGGGTTTTCCTCAAAGTTAATCCCTATCCATTCTGTAGGCATTATTTTAACAGCGTGAGCAGCCCAGTATAGTTCATTCGCTAAATGTAGACACACCGGCACGCAAAGGAAATCGAAACAATCGCTGGCCCTTCTTTGTCGCCCTCATAAACGGCCTGGTTACGCTCATTACGAGGGTCGATCCCTCGGCCTAGAGTTGCCGAAGACACCCGCGTCTGCTTCGCCCGCCTCCGCTCTTTCTATGAAAAGATGTTGGCAGGTCTAGCTAGGGGTCGGGCGGGGGCCGGGGACCGGGCTCCACGCATCGTAATGACGCTTACAATGGGGCCTTGGGTTTAGAGGGATGCCGGTGTGTCTACATTTAGCGAATGAACTATATCTCTCTCCTTCCTCCTCCATATCCCAACAACCCGCAACACCAATTTGTCATTTTACTTGCGGTACGTAACTGAAAACAAAAATCTCGTCCCTAATTGATGACAGGGGTCTCGCAGAGTTCATCCCAACATGCGTCGCGTACAAACAAACATCTCGCCAGGACCGGGCCCCTTTTCTTTCGCCAGCCCCTTTTTCTAAAAGTTTCAGTGCCGCCGCGATCAGTATTGATTGGACAGAAACATATTTCCGCACGCCGCTGTCCGCACCTTGCTCCCCCGCCCCGCCCCGCCCCGCAAGCTGCTCTAGTTTACTCCCTCACTAACGTCGAGTCGACACTGTTGTTCGGGCTCGTTACGCGCGGCCCGCCCGCCCGTCCCATTTATGGCCCGCCGGGACTTATGAGCGCCGGTCCACGAATTACGTGGCGGCCGTGACGCGCTTCAGGATGAGAGCGGCAGCCTCTGGCCGCCTCTGGCCGCCTCTGGCTCTGCCGGCCCTCTGCAATAATGGCATGGAGGGCCTGGCCTGCCTGGCCTGGCGGGTGCGCCTCGCCACGGCGCCGCGGAGCCCCACACAGCGCCGCCCTCTTGCCGTTAAATTGCTGCGGCTTAATGCCACCTGCCCACCTCCTCCCCCGCGCCCGCGGAACGGCGCCCCCCGCCCTCATACCTCCGGCTCTTTCTACGCAAACGCAAATTTGAAGTGAAGAACTCTAAGACTTGTAAAAATATTGTTGTTGTATTTAATTTTGTGTGTACTGTACCGGGTGATTCAGAGCACGCGCCGCCGTGTTGCGGGTTTGCCTATCCTCGACTCGGCGGGCGCACGGATGAGAGGTGAGGAGGGTAGGAGTGAGGAGGGGACCCCTCCGAGGTTCCTCCGAGTCGAGGATAGGCAAACCCGCAACACGGCAGCGCGTGCACTGAACCACCTGGTACTTACATTCTACACCTGCAGAGAAGGCGACCGAACACCACAAAGCTAGCTGCCTATGATCTGGACACGGCCCCTTGAAGTGACCGCCTTTCCTTTCCTTGTGTCTGCAGCCGGACCTGTTCGCGCTGGAGCTCGTCGACGGCCACCTGTTCCTGCACCTGGACCTGGGGTCCGGGCCGCTGCGGGTGAAGGCGCCCAGGAAGCGGCTGGCGGACGGCGCGTGGCACGAGCTCACCGTCAGCCGGTCGGGCCGCGAGGGCAGGATCACCATCGACGGCGCCTCGGCCGAGTTCAGCACGCCTGGTGAGTGTGGTCATGTTGTTTTCGAGGGTTCTTATTCAGAGTGCTCTGCTGCCCGAGGGGGGGGAGAGGGGGGTATGTTGTGTTGCGCGATGAGTGTCGCTGTAGTAATGGGAACACGTGTAGCCCCCTGGAGTGGGGTGGGAGACGCCGCCGCGAGCAATAGCATCGCGCATATAATGGAAATCGAGTTGTCGACCCCCTTTCGGACCGAACAGCGCCGCCCGCCCCCGTCTGCATTTACCACCCTATAATAAGTTGATAGCGGGTTCTGTTTCCCGGCGCGCCCGGCTCGTGTGCTTATTATTAGAAGTCGCGCAGTCGCGCAGCTTTTGCCGTGTTTTACAACCGCCGGGGGCGGCCGGGGGCAGCTGGGGCAGTCGCAGCCGCCCCTGCAGGGCGCGGCCGGGGCGCCCCGCCGCGTTCGTTATCGGTGCGCCCTGCAGGGGCGGGGCGGGGCCCGCGCCGCGCACACCAGCACACCTGACCTGCTTCCAGTTTGTGATTTGCGTGATTTGCCGCCGACTCCAGTGGAAATGAAGGCGCAGCACCTCGGCTCAGGGCGGGACGGGCCGCGGCCCGGGGAAGTTAATCCTGGGCCGTGTGCAATGCAAACTCAAAGGGGTCGTCGCGTCGGCGCGATAATAGGGGGG